GTCCCTGAGCTGTGTGACCCCACAGGTGTGCACAGCCTCTCTGACACTCAGCTTATAAACTGTTTGCAACTCTGATACCTGATCATGAACTTGACAGACCTGTGGGTGCTAAAAGGATCTAGCGGTTACCCCAAAGTTCTGAGTGGACCATCCCAGGCCCTCTGTTGGGCCCCAGCAGGGTAATCAGCTCCGAAGCCTCCTGACCCCAGGCCCGCCTCCCACCCCTACCCCCCAGGGCCGTCCTTGTGGGGCTGTCTGGTGGGGTGAAGTGGGGCTCTTTGTGGTGGTGAATGCTGAAGCTGGGGGCGGTCACACCTCTCTTCCTCTCTTCCCTTTCTCTGCTCTTCCTCATGAGTCAGCTCCCTGCTGTCTGGGGCAAGCTATGAGTCTCCCAGAGCCCATGTTTCAGCCTTTCTAGATCCAACCACTTCTAGATCTCCCCAGAGCCTGCCTCATGGGGTCTTTCAGAGCACAGAGTCAGGGGTACCCCCCATGAAGCCCCCTGCACAGCTGCAGGGGCCTCTGCACCCACAGAGGAGTCGAGCTTTGGCAACAAGCACCGAAACAGGCCTGGGCGGGTCCCACGTGCCCAGAAGGGCATGGCCACTCACCGGTGGCTGGTGACCGAGGTCCACTCCTCCCTAGCCCAGCCCCCTGGGGGGTCACCTGGTTATCCCTCATGTCCACCCTTGTGCTCACCCCTTATCACGCAGGCTTTCAGAGGACAGCAACTGGAAGCCCAAGGACCCCAGGCCGGCCCATAGTTCTCCATCCTCTGCCCCTGACATGTCTTACAGTCAAGGAAGACAGAGGAGAGCCGCAGAGGACTGGCCGCGCGGGGAAGGCAGCGCTGGGATCAGGCTGGTGGGATGGACAGAGGCCACAGGCCAGCCTGGGACCATCAGGCAATGAATGCCAGCCAGGTAGGAGGTCAGCCTTGCAGAGACCAGGGCCGGGAGGATGCAGCCCCGGAGCTCTCTCTTGGGATGGGGAAACCTATATTCGCAACTTTCACGAGCTGTTCTTGAAGCATGATGAACTCACCAACAGTCCCGCTTCAGAGACCGGGACCTGCCCAGGTGGCTCTAATGGGCCTGCTGGGGACATGAAAGAGTAGCTTCGCAAGAATGAAAATGCAAACAAAACTGTAAGCAAGTGTTCCACAAGCTGCCACTTGCAAGGCTGAGAAACTCAGCTCTCCAGAGGTCTCAGCTCGGTGTGGGAAGCAGGTCTCTTGTCCCTCTAATCCCATCACAGGGCAGGACGACACTGCTTCAGGCTTCTGCTGGCCCTGCGGGGACATTACACAGAACTAGCGTCTGGGAACCTACTCCATCTCCTGCGCTCTCCACCAGCCCAGAGCACTGTCCTGTGGCAGCAGAAAGATGGCTACGGTACAGCCCCACAGCCCACAGATGCATTCCACAGCAAAGACGTGGCGGCTTTGATCTCGAGGTAGCGAGATTGTCCCCTACCCCCCCCCCCCCCCGCAGACTATCCAGTAAGTCCAGTGCAAGCAGTGTTTTCCTGAGAGGCAGACGATTTGCTGCAGATGTGGCTACGGGGCACCGACAGACTGAAGATGCTAAGCTAGGAAGATGAAACCACGAGCCAGGGATATCCGGACCTTTAAAAGCTGGAAGAAGTCAGGCAAATTTCCCTCAAGCCCTAGGGGGAAAAAATGGATGCAGCCCTGCTCATGGCCTGACTTGAGCCTGGGGAGGTGGATCCCTGACTTCGAGCTCCCAAAGTGTAAGATGAGAAAGCCGTGTGATTTTAGGCCACTTGGGTAGGGGAGATTTGTTGAAGCAGCAGCAGGAAACACAGCCAGCTCCTGGGGCTACCGCTCTCCTCAGCTGGGCCCCGCCCCACCCCACCCTGTCCTGCCCCACCCCCGTGCTTTGGGTGCCCTCAGGGAGGGCCAGGGTTTCCCCAGCTCTTGGAAAATCCAATTCATCAAAGTGCTGTTTTCTTGCAAGTCTCCACAAGGTTGGCCCCACCCACGGCAGACTGCCTGATGGGTGGGAGAGAGAGAGAGAGAGAGAGAGAGAGCCTCTGGCCTCGGCACACAGGAGCCGCCCACCCCTCCTCTGGGCCTGGGGGGGGGGCGGGGAGTAATGGAAGCGCTTCAGGAAGGCCCTGTCCTGCACCCAACTCCCACTGACCCCTCCCCCAGGCAGGCCCGTTCTCCCTGAGGGAGCTACACTCAGCTGGCCTATGATGAAAAGCTGGAGCTCTCCCCTTTTCCCATCCCCAAATACCAATTTGGGGACAGTACTTGGGAGACAGGTTCTTTGGGGCTTCCCCAAACTGGGGTGCCAACTGGGGTGTATCCCGGGTGGGCTAGGTTCCAGAACCCAAAGGTGAGACACTGCTGGGAGACTTGCATCCCCCTCCCCAAATCCACGTGTCCACACCCCAGCCCCCAGTACCTCAGAATACAGCTGTATTTGGAGAGGAGGCCTTTAAAACGGATGGTTGTTAGAATGGGTCCTTCCTTCCGGCAGGTTCTCGTCCTGTCTTGACCAGTGTCCTCGTGAGGTGACAAGACACTGGGGACAAGCAGAGGACCAAGTGAAGAGGCAGCCAAAGAACAGCCATCAACAGGCTGCAGAGGTGACCCGAGATACCAGTGCTGGCCTCTCACGTGGACTTCCAAGCCTCAGAATTGAGAGAAGTGCCTGCTGTGTAAGCCATCCAGCTTGGCCTACCTTCTAACGGTGGCCTAAGCTGACAAATGCACCACCTCCTCCCTTAGACTCTTAAGTCCCAGCAGGGCACCGGATGTCTACTGACAATGACACGCAGCAATGAAACACCAGCACCCCACACTGATACTCCTCAGGGGCCAGGCAGGGCCCAGGAGAGAGGCCTTCGCTCAGTCCCCCTGCAGATTCCAATCGCTAAGGCCACAGCTGGGGGGGAAGGGCGCCTGGCTCGGCTCTCCACAGGACACCCCAGGACCACCCTGACTCCGCTCTTCCAAACTCAGGGCCTGGATGTTGTCCCTTAGCCTGTGCTCTACCACTTAGAACGAGTGACTTTCCGGTGACCTTTGCACGCATGTTGGACACCGCAGAAAGAACAGATGGGCGTGCAAGTGATGGGTGGGCACAGCCAGGTGGGCCCGTCTTTAATTGTGTTAAATATTCATGAAAATACAGCATAATGGTGATCCAGGTCCCAGGCCTCACATGGCCGGGGGAGGACAGTTGGATACAGTTGGAGGTTTGGGGGGACACAAGGGGACTGCAACACCAGGTCGGGAGAAACGCTCCTTTTCACTTTGGCATGGGGTGCCAGGCTGCGGTCACTGCCTGAAACGCTACCTGTGCGGTCACCCAGAGAGAGCCTCAATGGACAGAGCGCAAAGGCAACAGCAGTGACCGCAACGCCTGGAAGGAGCGCCAGGTCTGGATGGCACTGAGGGTGGGCCTGAGGAGATAAGATCAGTAATGAACCAAATAATATTGGAAATAATATCCCCAGTAATACTTCTGTAAGAAGCAGAATTGCATGGTTTTTCACATGCGTAGGAGTGTGTACAGAAAATCCCTTGTAACCATTATTGGTGAGGAGTAGGAAAATAGATACTGCAAAGGAGGCGTTAACTGGAAGAGAAATTAATCTATAAAAGCACAGTGTCCAGAGAGGAGGTGGGGGGAGTTTCATCAGCCACAAAACCCGGAAAGAGCCCACTCCGAAAATGCAGCCCCCACATACGCACACACACACACCGTATTCCAAATAAATACACACATACACACACCGAAGTGACAGCGCCCCAGCACCCTTGTGCTCCAGACAGATCCCTTCCTGGCGGCCGCGCTGAGCTTTGGCTGGGACTGTCTCTGTACAAGGGCACTGGGGACACACAGCTCCTTCAGGAGCGGAGCAGCCCCAGCTTCCCGGTGCGGAGGGCTCTCGTGCACCTTCAGTGCTCTGCGCAGCCCATCTCCAGCAGCAGACCGAAGATCCTCACACCACCCAGGCCCAGCCTCTCGCACCAACGCCAGGGACAGCTGGGTATGTAGTGTTTGCACTTTGTGACGCAGGTGGATGGGACCGTGACCCGAGACCATGAGTGAATTCGCAGGAAGCGTCCACTGACCACACTCCAGGGCTATGCTTTCAAATGCTCCCACCCAGGCCTGTGTGCCAAATGGGCATTGCGTCTGGTCTTCCCTGGGGCTTTCCGAGAAATGGCAAGACCTTCAGCCCCCTCAAGCCACAAACCAAGCTGCCAAGAGGCCTGGAAAGTTCCATGAAGAACATGGCCCCAGTCCCAATGTCACACGCTACCCGAAGTTGAGTTGGTGCACCAAGCTTCAGAATCAGGACCTGAAGATCTTACAGGACCATTGCGAGGGAGAACTTGGACTACGCACAATGGAGGATGTGGGTAGTCTGTCTGAATCAAAACTTGAAGCATCCTTTAGCTCCCGGATGACGCTGTACACGTACGAGCCTCGGGTACCAGATTTCCCATGAAGTGTCTGATCCCTTGAGGTGGCTCTGTCCTGGCATTGACATCAAAAAAAAAAAAAAAAGCTACAAAACTACCCTTCCAAATACAAGTTGAACTTCTTCAGAAAGCATTTAAAGAGGCAGAAGGGAGCTGGGCACTGGTGGCTCATGCCTGTAATCGTAGCTATTCAGGAGGCTTGAGATCTGAGGAAGCCAGCTGGGGCAGGAAAAGTCCGTGAGACTCTTAACTCCAGTTAACTATGGAATAGCTGGAAGTGGAGCTGTGGCTCAGACGGTAGAGTGCCAACCTTAAGCAAAAAAATATAAGAGACAGCAGACTGGACCTAAGTTCACACCCCAGTACTGGCAACAAAAAGAAAAGAAAAAGAGGCAGAAAGGAGAGGTAGGGCTAGTCAATGCAGGAAGTCATCTGTTCTAAAGGTATTCCTTGTCTGTGTTAAACATAAATAAAAAGAACAAAGGGGAAGAGGTTGGAGAGATTTCTGGGTTGCCAAATGCTGTGTTTTTTCCCCTTCTTCTTGGGAAGAGTGGAGTGAACAGGGCTTATTTCTGATGTCACTGAAGGGCTGACTTGAGAATAAGATTTCAAAAAAGAAAGAGGCTCTAGACAGCATGTTTCCAAACTGCATCTGAAGTGTCAGCAGAGGAGACCTGGAGCACGGCCTCAAGCTTACTTAGCGGGATCCCAGAGTTTGTGGAACCCCTCAGGAGGGGCTCAGTGGGCAGGGCGGGGCTGTGTCCTCCTGAGACGGCCTCTCTGTGTCTGGCATGGTGCCAGCCTCCCATCCCTGAGCTCCAGGTGCTCTGGGAAAAGTGAATTCCCGTTGAAGTGTTCTCTGCTTCGGCCTCTGGTGGAGAAGCTGTGGGACGGGTCAAGGGCTGAGCTTGAAGTGTGGCAGGGGAAATTCTGGAATGGCTGTAACAAACAGGTGCCTGGGGAGAAACCCGGGTCCCCTCCATACTGTGACTGAATGGCTTCCTATCAAGAGAGACTTCTCAAGTCATGGCAATGATGGAGTCCAGCAGCTGCAGCAGGACTCGGTGTTTCACGGTGTCTTCCAAGCAAACGCTTCATCGGCCAGGACCTGGGCCAGCCTGGCATTGAAAGGCCTGTAGAAGTCCCGCAGAATCTTCTGTGTGACGGGCCACATGGGCCCCAGGCTGCGATCCTCAGGACGCCGGGCGTTGGAGGCTGGGCTCTTGGTCATCAAAGCTTCTTGCTTCTCACTGAGAGGCCCTGGAGTGAAAGAAAAAGAATCTCCTGAGCTGGGGGCATGGCAGGAGGCAAAAGGAACAACGGACCCCAAACCCCCAGCGACGGCACGCTGAGACATGTGTTTCCCTTTAAGAAGACTGGGTTGGGGAATTCAAATTCTTTGGCTGGTTCCATTTGGAGGCGTGGAGGGAGGAAGATGGAAAGATCATTATGAGATTGCGAAGCGATTCTGGGGCCCAGCGTCTGCGCTGGTATGCAGAGATGAGCTCATCTGGAGCCCAGGCCTCCACCGTGGCCCACTTGGGGGCTTACTCCTCATTGCCCTGGAGGGCTTGTCTGGCAGCCCATGGGCCTGTCCTGTGAACGGGGAAGTGCCAGCTGCCAGGCAGTCTTAGGACTTGGGGTTTTCTTCTAAGCAGCCGCTGGACTTCACCTGGCCCCGTCTCATCCTATGTCGTGTCTTCTTGCAAAGTAGCCATGGTGGCGACAATGCCTGCACCCAACCCGTGCCCAGAGCCCCGCTGGCCGCACCCACACCTGCGGCCAGCACGCTGGTGAGGACAGGTTGGCAGAGGCTGCGCTGAAGCCCACCCTCCCCCCACAGCCCGGCCCTGCAGAGCAGCAGCTGCACACTGGCCCAGCCCACGGTGACTGCCAGGCCTCCAGGACCCAACTTAGTCCTTAACATGTCTCAGTGCTCTAGGGCTACGTAAGACAGAGAAGTGGCCTTACTGTCCCTTGTAGGGACAAAAGGACAAGCCTATATTAATGCAACAGTCAGTAAGTGGTCAACTTTTTTTTTAAAAAAATGGCTTGAAGCCTTTTTCAAAGGAGAAAGAAATGACTACACTTCAACCAATGACCAGATCTCCAAAGGAAAGGAAGAAACAAAATAAAACCAAATGGCTAAAGGACCCTGTGTTCAACAAAACTTTGGTTAACAAGTCTCAGGAAAGGTCCTCAGATGGCTGCAGGAAGGAAGGCCCTGCTGCAGCCTTGCCCGCTAGCCCTGGGTGACGGGTGCACAGGGGCCGCTCCCTACCCTGTGGCTGCTTCTCTGCCAGCTAGCACCGGGCACTGCCTTAGCACAGTGCCCCTGGGACCTCCCCTCCCTCTACAACGTGAGGGCTCTGACGCCAGGGGTCCCAGCAGCATCAGAAATGAATGATACAGCCGCCAGCTCCTTCCTCCACAGCCACACCTCTGCCAGCCCCCCACTGTCGCCTGGGGCTCCCCCATAGCTCACACTCACATCTCTCTCTTTCCATAAACTCTCCACAGCCCTCCCAGGAGCTGTGGCAGGGCTAGCCTCCCCTTCCCCTGTGGCCTGTTCCCAGCCACTCTGTGAATGGAGCCGAGGCCTCCTCTTCTCCCTTGAGGAGACAACTAACTTCCAGGAAGGATGTCACCTCCCCTTCCCCCCCCCCCCCCCGCCCCAGAGAGCCCCTCACCGCACCTCAAACCTCGACCCAGGTGCCTCTGCTGACCCAGACACAGGGACTGGCCTGGCCTCCCGCAGCCTGTCTCTACCCCCCTCGCCCTACCATGCTTGACCTAGAGAGCTCCAAAAGAGCCAGCAGGGGCCAGCAGCCGGGGACTCATCACGCTGTACCCCGCAGTGAGAGGCATAGCACATACCCAGGTTCAGGAACTGGAAGACCCTGTGCATGGTGTACTTGACATTGGAGGCGTGGTCTTCCAGGCGCAGAATGAGGAACTGCTCCTTACTGAAGACGGTGAGCCAGTCGAGAAGGTACACGGCATACAGCCCGACCTGGAGCCTCACCTAGGACAGAGAAGGAGGCTGGTACCGCAGGAGACACTCTTCCGGAAGCATCGCCACTACAAGCCAGTGATGGAGGCTCCCAGCGGAGATTTAATACAAGCATTTAATGCAGCATTTTTCTTGAGCGGCTTCCTGCTACATGTGCTAAGAAGTCCTAGCCCAGGGTTGCATTTAATCCTCTTGGCAGTGCCTGGCAGCTCCACACCGCTCACAGGTCCACACCTGCACCCAAGGGGGCAGGCTGCAATAACCAACAGCGTCCACGTCCTCTGCATGGCATGTGGCTAGCCCACTGTTCCTGGTGCTACCCAGGTCCAGCAGGCTGAGAAAAACCAAGCTGGGACACCCCAGGCGCTCTCGGGACAGGGCCGTGGCCACTCGGCGGGGGTGTGCACACACAGACTGGAAAGAGGCCAATCAATCGGAAGTCCTTCCACCTTCCCACCTACTCAGTTCTGGGCCCTCATCTTCTTGTCCCTTTTCGGCTGCCTACCAGGTGTAAACCGGGCAGTAAAGAACTGCCCTGACTCAAGAGAGGGGTAGCCTTGGTGCCTAGAATGTGCTGCCCCACAGGAGCATTTGCGCTCACTGGGGTTTGGGGCCCAGATAGGCTGACACTGTCACTTACAGTTGGGACTCTGGGCCACAAAGGTAGGTGTCAGCTTTGGCCTCTGGGGAGTCTCAAGACTAAAGGCCAGCCAGGAGGCAGCATGCACCCATGTGACACAGAGCTTTGGGGTGGTGACATGTACATCATGGCTGTTAGCATGACTTTGTACATCTTCCCTTGAGTGACATCCACCCTCATGCTGTGTCATACATCCTTCAGGGCCAGACCTTCTAGAACACCGAGCAAGAGTGGTCTGGGAACTCTCCTCTGCAGCCCTCAGTCACGGCCAGAGCAGGAACAGTGGCAGGGCTCTCACCTGCACCTCCTGCGTAGGCCCGTCCCCTGGTCCACTGCCATCTCGCCTGCTGGGCTCACGCAGCTCCTGACCAGGCCGCCCACCTCCCATCCCTGCCCCCCACTCCTCAGCCCCCCACCAGCATGCAAAGCAGTGAGCTGCATGGGCCGACCCTGTGGAGAACTCCAGGGCTGAACTTCCTGCCCACCCCTCCATGAGGGGCACCTCCCAGCGTCCTTAGCGCCCCTCCCAGGAGTCAGGCACTCTCCCATCATACGTCCTCCCTGTGCAGCTTGACCTTGAGCTCTTGGAGGGCAGAGACCACTGCTTGGCCATTAAATCACAGCACACGGAGCAGTATGGACCTGGGTAGGATTGCTGCACATGGTATCAATCAGCATGATGATAAAGCATTAGACAAGAAACGGGCAGATGCTAATTAGCTTCAGCTCTCAGGGTTCTTTTTTCCATTTTTATTATTTTCCTAACAACATAGGAAAGGATGGAGAGGAAGAAAAACACTTAGTGGGAACAGATAAAGTTGTCTCCAGAATTCATTAGCTGCCTCCAGCCACACTTTGTTGCGACCCTATACACTAATCGTAAAAGATGCTGGGTGGAAGCCAGAGAGAAAATGAGTGCCTGCCAGTCTCAGAAACAAATACACAGGTCACCTCCAGCACGGATAATGCGCAGGAACTTCCCGTGGTTAAGTCACGGGCAAGCTTCTCCGTCTTCCCCCGACCGGCTCACAGGCCACTCCTCAAAGGGAAGTCAGCAAGGGATGGGGCGATGTTGTCCAAAAAGAAATGGACTCATTTCCTGACTTACGTAGCTAACTGTAACCCTTCTGTATATCATCTGTACAGTAACAATTAAAAAATTTTAATTAGGAAAGGAAATATAAAAGATGAATGAGTTAAATAGCTATTATTTTTTAAAAGATTTTTAAACCACACAAATAAGAGGAAGTCTTATCTCCTGGGTTGCATTTCTTCCAGAGAGCCTGCCTTTGTGGCCTGACAATTTCCCAGGAGAGGAGCTGAGTGTTGGTGGCAGGATGCTGAGTTTTACAGTGCTGAAGCTGACCCTGCACCTGACCTGTAACAGACCATTCCCTGTAACTTTCTGTGAGTACCCCGTGGACAAAGTCTTGTGGCTGAGTTGTGCATTGCACAAGGTCTCTTTTCCAGGTCGGGCTGGCCCAGGTGGGAGGGGAGAGGTTTCCTGGGTGCTCTGCCAGATCCCAGGGGAAAGAGCCTCCCATCAACCCACTCCAGTACACTTCCACCTCCTCACAGCCAGGGGGAGCTCTGAGCATCTCAGGGAAGGGTGCAGCATTGCCACTGCAACAAAAACCCAGGCCACTCCCTGGGGGTCCCTTCTCCCTCACCTTTGCCCAGTGGGGAATGAGAAGCAAAATAACCAAAGTGGAGAGGAAACTCAATGTATTTAAACATAAACTGTATTACATCCCAGAGAAGCCTGGAGATCACGAGTGCCGGCTGTTTCATGTGGAATGTACAGGCCCAGAAAGGGCTCTGCCAGCACCGGCATTTGACCTCTCCACAGTCAGGTCCTCATGCATGGGGCTTGTCCCACCTTAGGGGAACCCTGAGGAAAGGTGTGCACCACAGAACATCCCAGCAAACGCCACACGGGACACAGAGAGCCCTTTGTGGAGACCTAGGGAGGGGAGGGGCCCAGGGGACACCGCATGGGAGTCAGACTGAGCTGACTCTCATTCCAGACCCAGACGGGCACCACGCATCTCTGCCCTCCAGCCAGTGGGGACTCTCCACCTCCTCCTTACTATTCTCCATTCATTCACTCACTCATTCATCTGTTTAGAAACGACTTTGAGCTCCCACTGTGGGAAAAGTGCCTGCTGGGCCATGGAGACACATTGCTACTTAACAGGCTGGGCCCTGGGGCCATGGACCTTGCAATCTAGTGGTGGACACAGAGTTACAGAAACACCTGCGACGCACACTATGAAGAACAGGTCAGATTAAGAAAGGCTGGAAGGGTGAGAGGTCCTTCCACGAGCAGGGGAAATGTGTCCAGGAAGCCAGGGAGGGATAGTGAAAAGGTACCCAAACCTGACGCACAGCACTCACAGAGAGGCTGTGGACAGACTGAGGTCCCTGCCCACACCCACCTGCACAAACATCTGACCAGGATGCCAGGGGTGGGGGTGGCGGGAAGGAGGCAGAGAGTTTGCATTTATGGCCAGCGCCTTGGAACCCTGCTGTAAGCTCCCGTGTGGAGTCTGGGGCCATCGAGTGATAGGGAGGAAGGTAAGGAGAGGCTGGGCTCGGCAGCACTTGGGAGCCGCAGGGAGGCAGGGGACGTGCAGGGTCCCCTCTGGCCTAAAGTGCTGCCCCACCCCCCACCCCCACGCTGAAACCGGGCTGGGATTTGCAGATGGAGAGACATTTTCTTTGCACAAGTATGGAGTCATCTCCAAGAGAAAGGCTTCCCGTCCTCCCCCAGGGACTGGAGAGAGGTGAAGCAACAGCCCCCGCAGCCACAGCTGCCCCCTGCGCTCCTCCCTTTGATAGAACATCATCCCTAGCAGGTCTCCAAGGGAATTAAGATGCGTGCCTCCTCCTGGCTCAAAGGCTTTGGGGAGGCAGGCAGGGAGTTTCAAAGCCACCACACTTGGGAATGAGCCTGAACCAGTCTCTGGTTTCAAATGGGAGGACATCTTTCACTGGAAAGTAGGAAGGGACCTGGGGAGGGGGAGCAGTTTAAGACAGGGCACAGCACGGACAAACGGGATTAGATCCTTCCCCGTCTCACCAGCAGAACTTCAAACCTTTTATGAGGCTGTTTCCAGCACACAAGGAAGTGGAGGGCATCGCGTGGCCGCGGTGAACTTCCGGCCCAGTCTCAGCAGTGTTCTCATGCTCACAGCTGAGGGTAGACGGGAAGTGAGCGGAAGGGCACACCCTCTGCCCTCCACGGGAGGAAGTGGCTGCAGAAACCCTGCCTTCAGGAAAACCGTTTAGAGACTGGCAAAGCGGGTGCAGCTTGCCTGGCCCCAGGCAATGCCTATCACAAGAGAAGGTGTCAGGGAGGGCCGTCTGGGGCACCATGGGTAGCATGAGGTGCCCGTGGCATGCAGACCTGGTTATGCCAGGCACTCAGCCTTCAGCGGAGAGCGGCACAGTTCACAGCTAAACCCAGCTGTGCCTGGGCAGGGGTCCACCAGACTGGCCTCTCCCGACCCGTCACAGCCACCAAGCTCAGGCTGAGCTGAGTCTCCTGACGTGAGCCCACTCCGCCCCGCTGGGGAGCTCTGCTCACTCCATGCTTCCCTGGGATCGGAGCCCTCCCTGCCCTTGCCCTGCTTCCCTTCTTCCCTGTCTTCCCCCTACCCATCAGGCGAGTGTGCAGTCCCACACAGTCAGTGTCAGATGGCCGGGGTGGAAACACATCAGCCCGGGTGAATACCATCCTCGACCTGTTCTAGGCCCATCAGCCTTCTCCCTCGGATGCCAGGTGCTGCCACAAGGTGGTGTACCAACTGCTAAACACCAGAGTGCCGAGGACACACCGCCACCCTTGCAGGGAGTGAAGACGAAAGGCCTATTTCTAGAAATTTCCACTGGGCTCCTAGCCTCTGCCCCTACCCTCTGGCATGGCTCTGTTACAACATGCTGGGGCTATTACCTCCCTCCCAGCCCCAAGCATCTTCCTAAGATACTGAGCCACGGTAGCTAACGTGGGGCTCGGGCAACGTGGCCCCTAGAGATGGCGCCTTGAACTCAGGAAGACTGGGGGAGGGGGAAGGGGGGAAGTTTCCTCACCTTCCCGTCCTGCTCCCCTGAAGCAGGCCAGGAACTCTAACCGACCCTGCACGGAAGCAGGTAACAGTGCCTTCCCTGCACGCAGAGGAAGCCGACATCCTGACCCCTGAGGAGCCAGGGCCCGAGCCCACAGGCCTGCTGAGAGCGCAGGACCGCCGTTAGGTCACACCCTCTGCTGCGCTCCCTGGCCACCAAACCTCAACATCACAACGCACATCGGTCCCTGTTCCCTGGACAGACCCAGTCACACACCCTTCTCCTTTATGTTGGCCTCACAGAGAAGCATTTAAATCTGTCGTCCATTCTGTGGCTGAAGACATTTTGTCCTAGGCCACTGAATGTTCAAACAACTGGGGTTCCTCTAAAACTCACGTGCTATTCCCCGGACATCCCCCTACCGTCACCTCCCCTGAGACAGGGGTGTGTGAGTTTCTGGGTCCCACCAGGTTGGTGGGTGATCACATTTGTGATTATCCCTCCGGACTGTGACGTCTTCTCTTCGGGTAATAAATCTGTACGCCTTTCTCCTATCCGTCTGTCTGCGGCCAGATCACCCCCAGGGAACCTGAAGAGGGTACAGAGGAAATTCTCCTTTGCTCATCTGCCCTTCTCTGCTTAAAACCCTCCTGTGTGGCTGGAGGGCAGCTCAAGGGGTAAAAACCTGCCCAGCAATCCAGAGGCCCTGAGTTCAAATCACAGTATGACTAATATTATATGTGTACATATTGTATATTATATAACATGTAACATATAATATATATGTCTCTGTGTGGACAACTTCAGAGACTCACTAGGTCCTTGGCAAAGCAGCCCATGCACCCCACAGCCGGCCCCCTGCTCATGCTCCCCTGTAGCCATGGTGGGTGTTTGTAAAGCTTCTCTCTCAAGCTGTTCTACATCCAGACCATAGCTCTCCCCTGGCCTTGGTTAATGCACCCAGTACAGACATTCCCTTCCATAAGTCACAGCCTGCCTGGCGCCGTCTTCAGCAGCCTCTGCTGGTGCCATTTCCCAGCCTCTGCCCAATCTTCCTTCTGGACTACACTGAAGGACAGGGACCATGTCTGCCTTGTCCTTGCTGCAGCCCAGGGCCTAGCCCCATTCAGGAACACAGAGGAAGGATACAGTGCAAGAGCAAGTGTCCACACCATCCACCCCTTAATTCTTATGACACCCTGGTAAAGTAGTTTGAAGCAACTGAGTCTCAGAGAAGCTAAGATAGCTGCCAAGAGTCACACAGCCAGCAAACTCAAGAGCCAGGAGGTGAACCTACACCACTGCCTGCCTCTGAGCCCGTGCCTGGCTGCCTGACACATCCTCCTCACCAAACTACAAAGACCAAGGACATGGCTACCTGTGCACTCTGCCTTCAGGTGCGATGGTCTTGGGTAGCCAGCCCCACCTCCCGGGGGGGGGGGGGATCTGAGGCTCCACAGCATTATTTCACTCCTTCGAGTGGAGCGCTCGCCACACTGTGGAAAGCTGCCCGCTGAAGGAGTGTCTAGGACCCCAGAGCCCAGCTGCCCGCCCTAGCCTAAAGGTCCTGGATTCACCCTCAACAACTGCTTTTGCCTAAGAGAGCGCAGACATTGACAGATGTGCTCCTTCTGGGGAAACAAGAGCCTGCAGAGGCCCGCGAGAGCTCTTCCCAGTAGACACACGGAAGGGACTTTTGAAGAAGCCTTCGAAGGCACTAATGGGGAATTTTTTTCAACCAGCAGAACAATCCACGCTACAGAAATGCCCATAAGAAAATCTGAGAGCTGGGTGTCCTCCTGTCTGCCATCTCTAATTGCTGGGTGTGCTTTTGAGCCTCGCTAAATGGAATCTTCCTAAATGCACCCTGAATCTCTCTATGAGGGAGGAGACAGATGATGCATAGTGGCAGGGTGGCCGGCGGCGGCGGCGGCGGGGAGCAGGCTGGAAGGGCCGTCAGCTCTCACAGCTCTCACAGCTCTCACAGCCCGGAGTATTTGTTTCTCCATTAGCCACCGCTCAAGGCAGCTGAGCGACATTTGCATATTAAAATGCCTCTCTCAGTGTTGGTGCTCCACTCCCGCTGCAGGATGCTCCCTGCGCAGAACAGCAGAGGCCCCCCTCTGTAACAGGCCCCTTGGTGAATACGCACAGGCATGGCGTTGTTGAGGGTGTTGTTGTAGACACAGGCGCGCAGGGAATAATCCAGCATGCAATTTTCAAACAGCTGCAGAGCCTCTGTCACTTTTTCATGGAAGTCATCTGCAGATTTATTCGAACTTGCAAAATAGAGATAATCTGAGTACAACCTGTGAATAAAATAAATGGATAATTTTACCATCTGAGAATGTGAAATCATGCCATTTGGGTGACAATGAGAATCAACGTGCAATTACATTAGCTAGTTTTGTTCATTACAACGCAACCATTTCTCTTCCTTCCTGCCAGGAGTCCCCATCCCGGCTGCGCTTCACTCTCCCACCCCAGACTCCTCTACCACAGCCATGTTTTATGTTTGTGTTTTTATAAATTCTTTTTTAAGTCGAGCACCAGTGGGTCATATCTGAGGAGGCTGGGATCTGAGACTTTATCTCCAATTAACCATCAAAAAGCCAGAAATGGATCTGTGAATCAAGTGGTAGAGCACTAATCTTGGGTTAAAACACACATGCACACACGCACGCACTCACACGCGTGCACGCGCGCGCACGCACTCACACACGTGCACGCGTGCGCACGCACTCACACACACGCACACGCACACACACACACACACACACACACACACACACACACACACACCCCTCAGGGACAGTACCCAGGCCCTGAGTTCCAAGCCCCAGGACCAGCATACACATACATTTTTTTTTTCTAGTTACCTCACATTAGGCTCTGCTTCTACACCACCAGATTTTAAAAATCATACAATAGAGGGGAGAAGCCATGAAAATTTTATATACCTTCCCAACCATTTCTCCCCTCTTGGAGGGAACAAACACAGAGCATCTGTTGCTCTTGCAGTTTTACAATGCCTTGTGAAATTCCTGGCTTGTCCTAGAGATGTTCCTAACATTTGGGGGAAAAAATATTAACTCTGCCTTCCTAGATTCAAAGGCTCACAGGCACCTGTTTTCTAACCCAGTGCCAAAGTACCACCAGCGCAGGTGCAGGTGAATGTGTGCACAGCAGGTGCTGTTTATTCAGGTGCAGACTCAAAGCTATGTGCACAGATACACCCCACACAGGCAACCAGCTCTTCCCCCAGAACTGACAGCCTTCCTTAACCCAACTCAACTTTCAGTGGCCCAGGTCTGCCTTTGCATCATCCCATTTTAGCAGGATTTTCACTGGTATAAGAAACTTGTGGAAGGAAGGCAATTGCTTTGGGCTTCTCTTCTAGACCTAACAGACAAGACCAAGACCAAACAAGAATGGAGTCTTGGAAATGGCGGGGGGGGGGGGGGGTTGACTCAAGTGGAAGAGGATAAACCTTGAGCAGAAAAGGCCAGTCAGGAGCAAACAGCCCTGAGTTCAAGCCCCACTAGTGACATAAAAATAGGGAATAGGTATATAGAATGGAGTCTTTCCCCTAGGCATCTAATAAATCAAACCACACTTGGAAAAGGCAGACTCTAGCTTGAGATGTAGTGCCTCTGAGTTCAATCTCTAGTGCAAAACACGAGGCAGGGGGCGGGGCAGGGGCAGGGCAAGGGGTGGGGCAGGTCTTTTCCATAACACAAGAAGATTCACAGCAACCAATCAAAAGGAGCCCAGTCAACCTGAACCTGCAAGGTAAGAAGTCCCACTGCTGTAACCCAGGGTGGAAAGCAATTCTCAAACCGTCTACTTCTCATTTTCTACTTGTACTTCTTAAACACCTGTGCCTATATTGTCCACCTCTATGCACCAGTGGCAAGCGTATGTGGGGCCCATTCATGAACCCTAGACCCTTAAATTAAATCCATGAAAATGTGGGGTTTATAGACAATGCCACCCCTGCCCTCCAAATCTGATCACACCTTCTGCTCTAATCAGGTACCTCCTGGGCCAGGAGATGTTTGGTCCCCTGGCCTGCCTTCACCAGGAATCCTGTTTAGGCTGATTTAGCTAAAATGTCCCCTTATCATCAAAGTTTCCCAGCCCTCTGCTCCTTGGCTACAAAATGCCCTACTTCTTTTTATGAAGCGCTGAGACCATTTCTTTCCCCTACTGCAAAATCCAATCATAGCAGTCCCTACACCTACAGCAACAGCCCTGAAGAAAAGTGTTTTAACATTTTAGCAGATGTCAGGATTTTTTTTTTTTCATTCACAGAACTTCTGGGTTGTGAGTCTCCTCCTTATGGAAAAGGTAAGAATTTCCTTTTTCGTGGGCGGGGGGGCTTTTAAGAATTGCTTTTGTTTTTCCAGATGTTTCTCCCTCCCCTCTTCTTGCACAGACCTCCTGATGCTGCCCTGGCTTTGTGTGACACCCTTCCAGCACACACCAGCCCCAGTCATACCTCCTGCTGAGTCTCTATGGAGACAGATATGCTGCTCCTCCCACTCAGCCCTGTGCTTTCTAATCTCCAGCATCTTCTTCGTGGTTCTCTCTTTCCAATGAAGGTAATACTGTGACTTTCCCCCTGGATCATGGATCTGGGGCTATACAACTGCATTGACAATTACACCTTCTGCCTCAGACACACGTACACCCCGCGGAAGCCATGGCCCCGCAAGATCTGTGGTGAGGCTTTCACTGCCCTCAGCTCCAGTGGCGTCAGATTACCCCACAGGCCACTTCTTAGGAACAGGGACAGATCTTACTTGCCTCTTCATCTCCCACTTGGCACACTGCCTTGGGGACCACCGTTGGGAACTGCTAGCTGAAGATCACAGAGGGCACAATTCTTGGACAGCTTGAGAGGTTTGGAAGGTTCCCACAGGTGGCCTAGAATCTATGCATCCACCAGAATAGAGTCCTGTTGATCCCTGCCTGGCCAGCCACCCTCTCCAAAAGCCTTACCTCAGAAAGTGTTATTAAAGATGCTCGGGGGGGCTGGGAAGGTGGCTCAGTGGTAGAGCGCTTGCCTTGCAGGCCTGAGGCCCTGGGTTCGATTCCTCAGCACCACATAAGCAAAAAGAAAAAACCCGGAAGTGGCGCTGTGGCTCAAGTGGTAGAGCGCTAGCCTTGAGCTGAAGAGCTGAGGGACAGCGCCCAGGCCCAGAGTTCAGGCCCCACGACCGGACCCAAAAAAAATAAAATAAAATAAAAAATAAAATAAAGATGCTCGGGGGAGAGGGGTGAACAGCTGTCCCCCAGATCCAGACCCACGGGCCAGTGAACACAGAGATCCAATCTCTCGTGAATACTTTCCTCATCAAATTAGCCTGGTCCTGGTGCTCCTTGACATGAGCTATGCTACTTTCCTTATTCAAAATCAGGACATGCAGCAAGACTGAACTATGGTACCTGCTACAGCAGGGCCAACCATAGCTAGTAGAACCAAAGTCTGATTGGTAAATGCCAAGGTCAGATTTGCACAGATCTGGACTTACAGTTCGGCTGAGCCTTGAGGGATCCCATGGGGTATGCTGATGGGATCTCCTAGGCTACTCATTTCCCATCAGTCCTATCAAGAGCATGGCTCACATAGTGTCTTGTGAGTATGGTTGTTGCAATGGCTCATCCTTTGTTCTTGTTTTCATCATTTTGTTATTCTCCTTCCCTTCCTCAAATCAGATAAATGTAAGACACTATGTAGAAAATGAACTTTGTAACCTTGGGAAAGGGAGGAGTGTGGGAGGGAAGGGATAGTGGGAGAAAAACAAAAGAATGGGTAACAATGTTCAACAAGAAACGCACTCGTTACCTTACTCAAGTAACTGTACAGCATCTTTACAATAAAAAATCAATGGAAATTTATTTTTCAGCCCAAGGAACTATGTCTATGAAAATTAATAGATGCTTCCAAAATCCTGGTCCAAACCTCCACATAATAGTTCTTACCAAGGATGCCCACAGAACTATCCAAACTGTCTGATGGAAGTAGATTTCTAGCACATAAATTCCCTCAGAAAAACCCAGTGATTGGTCCAAGGTTTCCTTCCACACTGAGATTTTATTTTTCCTAGTGGTAATAACATTTCTTGTGGACATTTGGCTCATAAATAAAACAAGAACACCTAAGCCTGCTTCCATTTTCAATACAAAAATAACGTCTTGAAAAACTCTGCTGATTCCATACAATTCTTCAGAGATCAAGAAGTAATCTTTGAGAGGAAAAAAGAAATGGAACATGCCAAATGTCCCACCCAGGCAACTACACCCACCCGAGTGAGACTGTGGAGTTACACCTACTCTGGGTACCTGAGAGGGAATCACGGGCCCACTTCCTGTGAGTCACAGCCTGTTCTGTCAGGCCAGGCTACTTCTGCAGCAGTTAAGAGATTTTCAGGGTCCCTTGGTCACCTCCAGGTTCCTTGGATCTGACCCCCTTCCAGCTAGAGCCCACGTTGGAGTCCAGGGTATAAACACTCTGCTGCCAGAAAACAGCTGAAAAAGGACTTGATTCACCCTTATTGTAAATTGTGTTCTGTCCAGATTGTGCAGTTAGTTAATAGAAGCCCCCTCGCCCCCAAAGATGGAGTCTAATGGGAGCCTGCAGGACTGGAGTAGACACACTCATGCAACAACAAGTCCTCATCCAAGTGCCTGTTGAGTGTGATCTTATTTGGCAGCAGGGAATCTTCACATGTGTAATTAAACTGAAGATCTTGGGATGAGATTTAAGGTGAGTCCTTATCAAATGAGAAGACACAGGCATCCGGAAGAACACCATAAGAAAACTAAGGCAGAGACAGAAATGGCTCAGCTACAAGCCACACAAGGCCAAGCGTTGCTGGGAACCATTAAAAGCTGGGGGCCAGGCAGGGTGCAAGATTCTCTCTCAGAGCCACCAGAAGGAATCTGCAGACATCTAGATGTCAGACTTGGGCCTCGAGAATGTGAAGGAATAAATTCCTGTTGTTTTAAGCCACTAAGCTTGGGATGATTTATTAGAAGAGCCCTAGGAAACAGATCCAGTTTCAAAACTCAAATTCCAAGGAAGACTGAGTTGTTTTGGTCAATGCTATTCTCCTACCCTGAGGCCCTTGAAGACTCATGGCCAAATGGCCAGATTTGCCCCAAGAAAACAAGAAGGGAGACCAAAGCAAAGCAAAGTTCCCTTCGGGGGAGCTCTGTGGTATTCTTCCTGGGAGGGAGCAGAGGCCTGGATAGGCAGCTTTGGTAAACTGTGCCATAGTGTCACCATACTGCTCTCTGGGAG